GATTCCAACATAAATCAAGTTGATTAACTTATTTTTAGACGATCATATATTTATAAAATTGGAAAACTTTTGGGCTAATATTTACATGTATCAACTACACAGTGTGCAATAGTAGAAAAGTTATTATTTATTTTATATTAAACATTTACATGTAGATAACTAAAATAAGTACTTTTTATCATTATTTACAGTGATGTAGAAAAGCGTGGACAAGGAAATATTAACAGACTTTAAAGGCGTTTCTGTATTCCTGTTATTTTATGCAAAGTTTTAATGAAAGTACATTTCCTCTGCTAAAAATATTTCTCCCATAGAAAAACATGTAAACCTAGACTGTCGACAGTCTTCGGGCCAAATTACTTTATTTGAAAAAAATGCTGAAATCATAGTTTCTGGTCAAAAAGGAGTATACTGAGGGACCATTTCAATCATTTCACCGGCAAAAAAAATCATAGGTTGTGAGACAGTTCCTGGGGGTGTATTCAAACCTTTCACGAGCACTCCTATTTTAGGCTAAAACGATTTGGCACATGAAATCCGCTTTTATATATTTAATGAATAAATTTGGCCAGAGAATTGTTGACATCTAATTTATACACAAAATATTATTCATTTCTATTGTAAGAACAAAATATTGTAATTTGACCATAAACAAATACTTCTGTTAATTTATATAACCTCACATGCTTCTAATTGAGGGAAGGGTACAATAAATTATTTTTATATGTATGTAGTGCTCCATCAGTGGGACTTGGCGTTCATTGTATTTTTAAAAGAAAAAAATGCTAGTATTTACATTGAGTGGCATTATAATTGCCGTGAAACCTGTATTAGAAGTTGCACCCACTATTTAAAAAAAATTTGTAATGTGGAATTTACCATTTTCGTGTGTAGATGTTCTAATAGAATGCCACATCACTTATGTTGTACCTTGCCATCTTAATATCGGCTACTATAAAATGTGTTGAATCAAGACAAAGTGTGAAGTGCATGGTAACAGTTTTCAGGCATTTTGGATTTAATTTTCACCGTGTTGTGTCAAGACACAATGTAAAGTATAGGAAAAACAGTTTTCACGCATTATGAGTGGATCTAATTTTCACAGTGATGATTCAAGACGCAATGTAAAGTGTCTGGAAAACAGTTTTAAGGCCTTTCTCTGGATTTAATGTTTAATGTGTTGTATCAAGACACAATGAAAAACACTATTTCCACTGGAATTTATTTAAGTGGAAAAGACCCCTCTGCAACAGTTAATCGCAAGGGAAAATAAAATACTCTACAATTTGCAATCAGTTTTTTTTTTTCAAGTTTATTTAATGATATTGCCTTCAGTGTTTTTTGACATAGTTTTTTATTATTTTCATGTATTAATGTAGGATACTAACTTTAACATGCTTTTGTGATGGAAAACAGTTTTCAGGCATTTTGTCTGGAGTTAATTTTTACTCTATTGTCTTAAGACACAATGTAAAATATCATTTTCCCTGGAATTTATGTTTATTTTTATTCGTAGTTCGGTTCTTCTATATTCAATCATAGACAAACATAACAGAACAAGAAAAAAAACACTACCAAGACGAGAAAATGGTTTGGTCCGAGTGTAAATATGTGTTCAAATGAGATCAATTTCAGGCCTGGGGCAATGGACCTAGAACATGCACAGAACCTAGAAAAGTAGTAGTATATTCCCCTTCATTATTTCCTCTTGAACGGCTGAGGGTTTGGTGGCTGGGTTTTTGGGGGCGGTAGTTGGTGAGACGCCATGATCAATATTTATCAATTAAGTTTCAGTGGGGGGAGGGAACTAAAGGAATTAAGTTTTTTATCCTACATTTTCCCTAACGCAAATGACAAACACCTAACTGTAGATGTAGGTACGCGTGTCCTGGCGTTAGGGTTCACAAAAGCGGTTAACACCAAGTTTGCAATAATGTTTCCCGCGGAGATATACACGTACGTGTCTTGGCATTAGGATTAAATTATATATAAGAAGAGTTAGAAAGGGTTAGAAAGGGGGATCAGTAATCCTTAGGGGGTGAATACAAAAGAAGGGACCCATTTGGAGTGCAGCCATGCTCCTCGTGTCTGTTGTTGCACGTGACCTACAGCTGTCAACTGTGTTCCTTCTTCGACCATTTCGACTGGCTTCCATGTTCTGTTTTTCTGACTTGAGTTTTGAATCCGCTGTTTATGTTTTTAACGTCGCGTTTAAGTAATTTCCACTATTAACAAGTGGTTAAATTGTGACAATAAATGTGTGGACAAATATTTGAGATTAATTTTGGTGTAGACAACTCTCGTTT